TGCAGGAAGAGCACCATGTCGTGAATGGAGTTTGCCTAAGTCTTCCCAGAGGCCTGGCCCCACTGCTCTCAGAGGCAGCTTGGGTTAGAGGAGACCTGGCTGGGGCGGGGGACAGTACCTCGGGATCCTGCCTGGAATGGTGGGTTGGCCACCCTGTGCTGAGTTCCATCCTGCCTCGAGGTCATCGGCACAGAGTTCTGGACTTGTGCAGTCTGACGGGTGTATGTGCCCAATCGGCCAGCCCAGAACACCCAGCTGGTTCCCACGCAGCCACTGATGAGGCATTTCTTCGGGCTCAGCGCAGGGCTAGTGCTCATGCGCGGGCCCAGTGTCTGAAAACCTCTCAGCAGCCAGGCCACTGTCAGAAGAGAGACGAGGGCATGGGGCAGCAGTCTCTCCTGCCCTGGGTGCTCAGCCCCACGAGAGAGCTCGCCGTAGCAAGTTGCCACCCCAGACAGTGGCATGCAGAGAAAAGGGTGCTGTACATGGTAGAAGAACCCACAGTTCTGCCTGGGCGGGGCCTCCGTGGTATACAGCTACCGCGGGCCAGAGCCAGCTGCATGGCCCCGCACCATCACCAGGACGCCGGTGCCTGAGACCCAGCTGTGAAACGGGTTGGTTATGCTCCTGAGGGAGGCTGGCATGGTGTGTCTTGAGATGATGCTGAATGACCATGTCTGGTCCTGTTTCTGGCTTGGAGCCTGGTTGGCACCGTGAGTCTCATTAGATGAAGGTGTGTGGCATCTGCGAGCCTGGGGCCATTCTGACACACTGACACATGCAGCCAGTGCATAGGCCGTGGGCTGCAGGTGCCCTCTGGACTCGGGGTCTTGATGGTGCACAGTGCCAGGCACGCGGAGGTGCAGTGAGTGCTTGAAAGGTGCCTCTCAGGTCGCACAGGGGAAGCTGGCCGTGGGTGTCCCTGGCTTGTCTCTCAGTGGAGAGGCAGAGTCACCTCTCCAGATGCCTCAGCACCCAGACAGCTGTCCCGTGTGGCCCATACCCATTTCTCCTGTCAGGGCAGTCCCCTCTGCCTGCTACCTGCCCCCATGGCAGTGAGAGCAGTTGCTCTATGCCCGGCTCAGAAAAGGCTAGGCAGAGAAGGGGGAGAGAGAAGCAGGGGCTCCCCCAGAGCTGTAAGGGAGAGAATGGATTCCCACCCCCCGTCCCCTGAACTCTGAGGGTGACACCGGTTTGCGAGCCCCCTGAGAGCTGAGGCAGAGCCCGTGCGGCTGGCGGCGGAGTGCCCACTCTGGCCTGGTTAGACGTGGCCCTCTGAGCCGAGCACACATGGTGCTGCCCGAACATTGCAGATGAGGGCATCGCCTGTTGCCCTCAGTGTCGTCAGTGTCATTGAGCGCATGTGGGGAAGGGGGCTGTACCCCCAGTCAGGTTGAGCTCGTGTGCTGCCCCGTGTGTGAAGACCTCGTGCCTGCATCCCGTCATCTCCGCCCCCATGCCCCTCGTCCTGGTGCCAGGGGCTCCTTGCCCTGCCCCTCGAGGCCCTGCAGTGGCCCGTGCCTGGCCCTGCTCTCCGTGCTCTCCCTCCTCCTCCCTCTGCGTCCCTGCAAGGAGCAGGGCCCGTGCACCTGCCACCTGGCGTCTGCCTATCCTGGGAGCAGTGGGCCTGCTGCGGGAACTGCACCATGGTCTGGCAGATCCTTCCAGACCAGGTGGGGGCCCTGTTGCCACCTGGTTCTGGGTGCTGAGGAGGGAGGGAGCAGCTGCCCGCCCCCCTACAGGTTTGCAGTCTCAGCACCCAAAGGGATGGTTCTGCTCTGTCCCGTGGGGTCTCTGTGAGCTGGAATGGGGTCGGTGGTGGTGGGTGTGGCCCGTGGGAGACCCCGGCCCAGGGGCCAGGTGCTTGGGCTCCCAGTGCCCGCCTGCTCAGCCCGGAGCTCTGGTTGGAGCTGTGGAGAAGCAGGCAGGTGGCTGGCGTGTGGTGGCAGTGCAGTGTCGGCAGCACTCAGAGGGGCTGGCCTCTGGCTTCTCCCCCAGTGTGCGCAGGGGGGCCTCGAGGACCCCAAGAGCGTGGCGCACCACAAGCTCCTGCACGCGGCCTCCGAGAGGGTGCTGAGCGACTCCAAGACCATCTCGGAAGAGAACGTCCATGATAAAGGTGAGCTGGCCTCCTGGGAGGCCCTGGAGCAGGGTGGGGAGGTGGGGGTCCCGGTGGGTCCCTCGATGCTCCCTGTATCCTGAGCAGGAAACCAAGTGTGTCACCCTTCTCCTTCCCTGAAAAGCCCTTTGCATTGTGGGATGTCCACGAGCCGGTTTGGCAGAGCCTGGAAGGCCTGGTTATCCGTGTCTGGAAATCCACCCGTGCGTGGCCAGGCCCGCGGGGCACGTGTGGCCACTGAGGTGTTGAGAACGGACATCACACCGGTCTTGTCCCATCACATGCAGTGGGGCTGGGAGGGACCGTGGTCAGCAGAGACCCGTGGAACCCGCCTCCTGGTCTTGGGACCACTCAGGCAGGACTCCGGTGTTTTCCAGATGTCTTATTACTGATCAAGAGGCGGACCCCGGCCCCTCTCCCTAAGATGACCGATGTCTCCACAGACGAGAAGGTGAGCTTGCGTCACACGCCCCCTCCCGCCCCCGCAGGACTGCCGGCTGCTGATGGGAGCGGGGTGTGTCTGGCCAGATGGCTGCCAGTCTGGACGGCTCGGTGTCTCGTGCTGCAGGGGGTAGCTGCCCGAGCTCCTGGGTTCTGCCTGACCTCTGGACCCCTCTCGCGGCGGTGAAGCCCCCAACGTCTTCCGGCGGTTCTTTGGCTTTGTGGTCTGTTTTGGTCTCCCTTCTCCCATGTGCTCATTGGGACTGGAAACCGGCCCTGGGAGTCCCTTCTTGGGTGTCCAGCACCACTGCCTCCCCTAGGCCTCTGGTTCCAGGTCTGGGCCCTGTGTGGGAGCCACATGCTCTGGTGGCTTTGTGTGGACTGAAGTCGCCGAGACGTGGTGTTGGGGGTTGTGTTCTTGGTGCTCGCTGACCCCTGCCCAGTGGAGATGGGCTGGGTGCAGCTGCTGTCTGGCTGATGGGATAGTGCGGGAGTCCAGTGGGTGGGGCTGAGTCCGGTGGATGACAACAGGAGAGGAGAGGAGAGAGCTGGTCAACAAATGGGGGACAGGCTCACTGAGGTGGGACAAGGGAGGGAGGTGCAGACAGGAGAAACAAGGAAGAAAGGAGGAGATGGGTGTGTGGGGGGACAGGGGGGCACTCTAGGTTCAGTGACCGGCCTGCTTACGATGGGCCAGGAGCGGGGTGGGGGTGGGTGGGGGAAGGGGGCCTCCTGAACGGAGTCTCTGCTGGCCCAGGTGTCAGGTCAGGGTGCTTAGTTCCAATAGGACTTATCGCCAGCCCAGGGACACCTGGGGGTGGGCAGACTGATGGTTCTGGAAGGACCCCGTCTAGTACTGTTTGCTGTCTGCCGGGTGTGTGCACCCACAGCTGGTGCATGTGCAGGGTGATGGGTGGTGGGGCTGGCCCCGTTCTGGCCACCAGGAGGCTGTTCAACGGCCTTCCAGTTGGACAGAGTTCAGGTTGGCCGTCCTCTATATGTCGGGCCGTGGCCCCCTGTCCCTGTCTGCTCTCCTGTCCGAATGCAGCCCACTTCTCCGTCCCCCAGCCCAGGGTCCAGCATCATGGCCCGGACACTTGTCCAGGGTCTGCCCACCACCCTGCCAGCCCCCAAGTCCCTCGGACGGAGAAGTCATGGAGTCTGCGAGCCCACTTGCTGCACAGGACAGGCACCCTTGCCGTGGGCAGGCTCACCCTTAGGGTGTCCAGCTTCCCCCAGGGCAGGGGGGTGACCCTTGGGGTGTGGTAGGCCATTATCCCCATCTCTGGGCAGTGGTGAGGTGTTCCTGGGTACCCAGCACCCCGTGCCTTCCCTGAAGGTGAGCACCTGACGGCCCTGCCCTGCGGGTGCCCCGTGTGTGGGTGCTGGTGTTAGTTCTCTTCCGTGTGTGTTGCTCCTTGTTTGCTACACACCCGGCACTTGCTCTGTATCTCCTTCGTTCAGGAGGCCACCTGCAGCACAGGCCACGTTGGCCGCTCCTGGGGCTGGGCCCTGGACTAGGCGCCCAGCCTGTGATCCCTGTGCAGCCCTTATCTGCAGCTGCACCTGGCTAGGCATGCCACCCCAGCCCAATCCCCAGAAGTCCCTGAGTCAGGGTTTCCAAGAACTGCCGGGGTGGGGACAGGCACAGCTCACGTTACAGTGGCATCGTGGTGTCAAGAGCCCTAGGTGCAGGGAGCTGCAGCTCACTCCCCTCTCGTCCAATGGGCAGCCTGTCTGCACCGTGACTCCAAACCAGCCTTTGAACCCAGGGGCACACATGGCCAAGCTCCCGTCTCCCATACCCCCTCCAGCTCCTGCCCCCGCAGGCATGGCCACTACTCCCTCCTCCCTCTGAGCTTGGCTCTGCCCGGGTGCCCGGGGCCCTGGGTGCTGAGTTACATGGTTAGATTCCTGACCCTGTTCATTTCCTGCAGGCAAGCCACAAAATGTCTCCCAAGTTCCCAGACTCCTCTGTAGGACTGGCAAGGCCCGGGGCCACGTGGCCACTCTGGTGGGAAAGTGTGTCTGGATTCCTCTGTTCAGGGTACACGTGTCTGTGGTCATCTGCTCATCCGCTGGCCTTTCCTGGGCTGGGCCTCCGAGCAGTGGTTGTGGGCTGTGCGGTCCCCAGGGTCAGTGCCTGTTGTAGTCACAAGGGGCAGGCCTGGGCGTCTACCCTCCTGCTGATGTTCTGATTCCTCTCCATGTAGAACAAGGCAGACCAGACGGCCCCGGACAGGGATGCCATCTTCCGAGCCACGGCCAACCTGCCCTCCCACAACCTGGACCGGGCCGCAGTGCCCACCAGCACGCGCGATGTGAGTGCCCGCCCAGGGCCCAGCTATGTGTGTGCCCCCACCCTTGAGCCACACGAAGGGCACACCTGGTGGGGAGTGGCGGCTTCCATGTGTGAGTTTGGGAAAGGCTTCAGGGTGTGCACCTGAGACAGTGGACCTAGGGCAGTGCATCTGTGCATCCTCGGCTGAAGGGCAGCACCCCAGCTGGCGCCCCATAGAGCAGGGGTGACCCCGGGCTGCCTTGGGAGAGGCTGGTGGCTTACGGGCCTTCCAGGGTCACCTGGGCAGGGGCAGGAGAGGCCCTGCCCCTTTTCCACCTGAGGGCCTTGTGCCCCAGAAGTGCTGTTGCTCCTGTGAACGTGCCCGTGTTCCCGCCCTGCTCTTGGAGCTTCCTGTGGTCCCCAGCGGTCTCACCCCGACAGCTCTGCTGAC